GGCCAGCACTTGGGACATTGTTGAGCTGGGAGAGGGAGGGGCATACTTGGGGTGGGGCACAAATGAAACTGGCTCAGCTTTCGAGAGGAAGAGGAGGTGGCAAGGCAGGGCTGGTGGGCCAGGTTGGCCCCAAGAACACAGCCCGAGCCCTCAGGCCCCTCCACACTGGGTCCCTTCACCACAGCCTGGACCTGGTGGCAGGCCTCTGCTCGTCTCTCTGGGCCTGGCAGGTGAGTCAAGGGTTCCGGAATGCAGCGGGCAGAGGCCCAGCCCATAGGCTGTCAGCACTTGAAGGGTGACAGCTCCCCTCCTCTCCTCTGCCCATGCCAGTTCTGTCTTTGCTTCTTAACCCACAGGGCCCCACATCCCCCCCTCAGAAGCTGGGGAGGACTGCCCCCAGGGGAGCTTCCACCTCTGTTCTTACTTTGAACCTGTTCCTATCCACCTAGGCAGCTGGCTGGGTTGCCCTGAAGGCACTCTGAAAGGCCCCTCAGCCTCTAGGTGTATTGCAGCCTGCGCAGGCCCACTGGAGGGAGCAGTAGGACAGGCTCAGCCTGGGAAAGCTGCTTCCTGCCCCATAGGCCTTCAACTCTCAATCGCAAGGGACCTTTCCCATCGCTTCAGGCTCTTTCACTTCCAGCTCTGTGCCTTGGAGCAACTCCATCTGGGGCCTCAGACGCTGGCCCTGTGGTCCATACTCTCCATCTCCTCAGGCGGAGGTCAGAAGAGTTCTATCAGTATGGAGATCCCTGGGGCCTAGGGAGCCTGAGCTGAGCTGGGTCCTGAGTGCCAGCCTTGTGTCCCCAGATCTATTTCATCTGGGTGACGCGGACCCAGCGGCAGTTCGAGTGGCTGGCTGACATCATCCGGGAGGTGGAGGAGAATGACCACCAGGACCTGGTGTCTGTGCACATCTATATCACCCAGCTGGCAGAGAAGTTCGACCTCAGGACCACCATGCTGGTATGTCAGGGCTGGGCAGCTTGACAAGTAGATGGATTGGCAGCATATGACGGGATGGCCGGGGCTGATGAGTCCCCAGCTGGCAGGAGGCACAGCGCTGGTAGCCCCGACCCTCAGCCTTCAGCTCCATCCCCACCTCAGCCTGTCTCCTGGGCTGTGTGTGTGGGCTGGCTCAAGCTCAGTGCTGACCTTGATTGTCCTTGGGCTGATCTGCCCTTGTGCCCTCAGTACATCTGCGAGCGGCACTTCCAGAAGGTGCTGAACCGGAGTCTGTTCACGGGCCTGCGCTCCATCACTCACTTTGGCCGCCCCCCCTTCGAGCCCTTCTTCAACTCCCTGCAGGAAGTCCACCCACAGGTCAGTTCCGCCCCCTTCCACCCTGAGACTCTGGCCTTTCCCTGGCTCTGGTCCTCAAGCATCCTGCAGTTGTATCCTGAGCAGGGATAGGACCCCCACCGACAACCCGGCCCCAGGATAGGATAGGATAGGATAGGGTCAAGTGCTGAAGGAGAAGTTCAACCCCTTACAGCTCAAGCATTTTCCTCAGGATTTGAACTTGAAACCCTGGTCATTCCAGCCAGGCTTTGTTTTCCCTGAGGAATGAGTGTCTTAAGGCTGCTGGCTTCTCCTTCTTGATCCAATCCTCTGACAGGTGCGCAAGATTGGAGTGTTCAGCTGCGGCCCTCCAGGAATGACCAAGAATGTAGAGAAGGCCTGTCAGCTTGTCAACAGACAGGACCGAGCCCACTTCATGCACCACTATGAAAACTTCTGAGCCTGCCCTCCCTGGTTCCTGCTTCCAGTCTCCTGCCTTCCTCTTTATGGACCTAAGTTGCCCAGGCCTGCTGGCAATTCATTAGAACCCACCTCAGGCCTCAGCTGGAGGGCTGGGGAGCCCCTCAGTCCCAGGCTCTGAGAAGACAAAGACTACCCCCTACCCCAGTTCAAGCCATGGCAAGCAAAGTGGGGAGGGGACAGTCCCTGTTTTGAAGCAATGAAGACATGCAATAGTGTTTTCCTCCAATAAGTCCTCATGTCCCTGTTTGACTTACACGAAAGCAATGTAATCGTGTTGGTATTTTCTTGGCCCAGCATTTGAGGGAGAAGGGGGTGGAGATAGCTCTGAGTCAGAATCTCTTCAGAGCCCAGTACAGAAGCCTTGATACTCAGAACCTGGACAGCCCAAGTGCCTCAAGTCAGTCTCTGGGCCTTTCTCCTCCAGCTCCAAAAAGGAGTAGTCCTGCTCTTATCCCTTCCTGCTCCTAGAGGGTCAGGAACCTAGAGAAGGGCACCAGGGAACAAAGATGCCTCCCCACTCCTGATGTTCCTGATGTAAGCCAGTTATGCCCACTGCCCTGACCCCGTGGCAGGCCCCTCTCTCCATCCAGTGGAGCAGTCTCTCAACTCTGGGAATAAGGGAGTCCAGACTCTCTGCCAGATATTCAGAACTCCCTCAGCTAGGTGTGATGGCTCATGCTTGTGATCCCAGCACTTTGGGAGGGCAAGGTGAGAGGACTGTCTGAACCCAGGGGTTCAAGACCAGCCTGGGCAACTTGGTGAGACCTCATCTCTACAATAAATCAAGAAAAATTAGCTGGGCGTGGTGGTGCATGCCTGTAGTTCCAGCTACTTGGAAGGCTGAGGCAGAAGGATGGCCTGAGCCCAGCAGGTCGAGGCTGCGGTGGCCATGAGCATGCCACTGCAACTCCAGCCTGAGTGACAGAGTGAGACTCTGACTCAAAAAAATCCAAAAAAACCCAAAACAGCAACAAAAACAAAAACAGAACCCCCTCTCAATCCCCCACTTCCACAGGAGTTGGACGACCAGCTGTCCTAGTTTTCCCAGGACTCCCCCAGTTTTAGTACTGAAAATCTCTTGTTCAAGGAAACCCCTTAGTCCCAGGAAGATCAAGACAGTTGGCCACTTTACACAAGAGCCAACTTAAGATGTCACCTCCATACTCAGATCTTTAAGACCCTTCCCTTCCCTTCATCTGGCTCTTTTCTACAAAGCTGAGCAGTAAAATATTTTAAATTGAGATAAAACTTGCATACAGTAAGTCTTAAAGTAACCATGTACCTGTTTTACCACCACCCAGGTCAAGATATAGATCATCTCAACAATTTTGTCACCTCAGAAACTTACCTTGTACCCCTTCTAGTCGGTCTCCCCCAACTCCTAGAAACTACCACTGATGTGATTTCTATCACCCTAGTTTTGGTCACTGAATGTACTCTTTTGAGACTGACCTCTTCCACTCACCATAATGCCTTTGTGATTCATCCATGCTGTTGTAATCAGTATTTTGTCCCTTTTTATTGCTTAGTAGTATTCCGTTTTAGAGATGTACCACAATTTGTTTATCTGTTGATGGACATTTGAGTTGTTTCTGTTTTGGGTGGTTATGAATAAAAAATTCTATAAACATTCTTGTACCTATCTTTTGGTGGCCATAATTTATTCATTTCTCTTGGGTATATATCTAGGAGTATCTAGGAGTGGGATTGCTGGGTCATAGAGCTCTCCAGCCAGTAGGAACCATGGAAGAAGAGTTTTGGGCTAGTCCCACACCCCTGAACCAGGATCCTGTCTTCATTGGCCCCACCCTGCCTCTACAGCTAGGCCAAATGCCTCTGGTTCCCAATCCTCTGTGTGGAAGGTATCTCTCTGACAAAGCTGGAAGAGCACCAATCAAGGATCCAACTGGATTCTAGTGCCAACCCTACCTGTAAATAGCTACAAAATCCCTTAACTTCTCTGAACTTGTTTCCTCATTAACTTAAATGTCTGTATTAGAAAGTCAGATAGCAATATTGGCCCAGACAAGTATACAGATGAGAAAGGCATGAGAATGTATGAGGGAGGACTCCCCCCGCCCCAATGGAATTATCTTTTAAAGGGCGGGCCCTTGGTAGAACAGACTTTCCCCATTAGGTCAATGTTCTAGAAACCCACCAGCATCAGTGTACCAGTTAGCATTGTCGTGAAAGACTGGGTTTGGCTTCAGGGAATTTTTTTGAAGATTCTTTCAATGTATTTGCTTATTTCATGATGGGTGATTTGCGAGTGCACCTGCCCACACCACGCTGAGCATTCAGCAGTTTTTCACCCAAAATGGCATGACCGCTGTGCCCCACCACCTTCCCAGTTCACCAAATCTCGTTCAGAGAGATTTTGTTTGTGTCCGTGGATGAAAACAGTCCTCAAAGAGAAATGTTTTGCTGACATGGAAGAAGTGACACAAAGAAACAGCAGAAGCACTAAAAGGGATCAAAATGGACAAATTCAAAAACTTTTGAGCAGTGGGAAAAGCATCTTGATAGGTATATTGCATCAAACAGAGAGTACTTTGAAGGTGACTAAAGTTTAAACATGTAAAAATAAACACACAATTGTTTATAAATAAATTCAGTTTTGGGGGGTCCCCCTTGTATTATACAATTGTAGTATATAATGTTAGTTCACCTGTTTATCAACAGCATCAGGCCTCCGGGCCTCCTGCTCACCAAGCGCATAACCAGTTATTAATCCTGAACTCCAGCCCCTTAAGTCTCAGCCTTAGCTTTATTCTTAAGTCTGACCCACAAGTGCCTTCCAATTCCTTTCTAAAAACTGCTAAAAACATGTGTCTATCTCATCCCAATTAACTTGTCCTTGCTAGATTGGAGAATGGTGTTAACGTGACTGTTCTGATTATCCATAACACTTTCTCCTCAGCCCGGATCTCCCCACTATGCTAGGGCCTAAGTGAGGGTCTCCTAAAGACTCTGTGATCACTGAAGATGTATTCCCAGACAACTTTTACCCAGACCCCAAACAAGACTCCAAGTACATGCCTAACTAGACAGGGACTTGCCATCATGATTTTGAGTAGCTTAGGAGGTACTCAGCCTGCCTGGCCTCAGTGCTGACTCCACACCTGAGCTAGGCTTTAGATATCAACCCTAGGAATGTATCCACACATGATTTGGCTGCTCCATCTAACCCTCCACAGATTTCCAGAAAGGCACTATATGAGTGGGGGTAAAAGTCAAGGATATGTAGAGAGGGCAAAAGTGTATTCACCCTGGGTTTTTGCCAGGACCCTAAACTGGCCCCACCCTTCCTGGGACCTTGTGAGCAATGCTCTTTGGGAAGTGTGCTGGAAGACAGGATCAGGCAGCCATAGGCTAATACGCCCTTGGGTTGAGAAAGTGAGGTCACCCACTGCATAAGTGTGTATAGGGGACAGATTAGATTCTGAAAAAAATGTGTAAACAAGGGAGGCTGCAAAAATGTCCCAGAAAGCAAGGACTGGGAGACGATGACTCAGAGGAAATTCATGGGCATTTTTATATTAACCACATAGAAGAAAGCAAACCTTCTCTGCTCTGGATCACAGAGATGTTGGTCTCAGGCCCTGGGATCATGCAAAACCTATGCCCTGCCTCGCAGGAATAGAATTGAGGATGAGAATGAAACAGAGATGGAGAAGAAATCAGATGGGATTGGATAGCAATGGGAATAGGGATGGAGAAGATGAGGATGGGGATGAGATTAGATGGAAGGGCTTTGGGGTCGGGTGGAAAAGGAGTGGCTGAGGATAGGAGGTGCTGAGGCTGAGCCCTGTCGGAGAGGAATGAAGGCTGGATCATTACCTCTTTTTCCAATTTTTTTTTTTTTTTGAGTTAAGACCTCATTCTGTTGCCCAGGCTAGAGTGCAGCAGAATGATCACAGCTCACCACAGCCTCAAGCTCTTGGGCTCAGGCAATCCTTCCGCCTCAGCTCCCTGAGTAGCTGGGACAACAGGCACACACCACCATGCCTGGCCAATTAAAAAAAATTTTTTTCTTAGAGATGAGATCTTGCTATGTTGCTCAGGCTGATCTCTAACTCCTGGGTTCAAGCAATCCTCCTGCCTCAGCCTCCCAAACTGCTAGGTTTACAGACATGAGCCACTGCACCCAGCCTCTTCTTTTTCCAGTTTCCTACCTCCAACTTCTGTCCCAACTGAGAGAGAAAAAACTTGGCAAGATGTGGCATCCTTCCCATCTACTTACTAAGAATTTTTTTTTTTTTTTTTGAGTTGGAGTCTCACTCTGTCGCCCAGACTGGAATGCAGTGGCCGCTTCCGGCCACCGCAGCCTCGACCTGCTGGGCTCTGGCGATCCTTCTGCCTCAGCCTTCCAAGTAGCCGGAATTACAGGCATGCGCTACCACGCCCGGATGATTTTTTGATTTATTGTAGAGATGAGGTCTCGCTGCCCAGGCGGGTCTCGAACCCACGGGCTCAGGCAATCCACTCACCTCAGCCTCCCAAAGGCGCGGGATTACAGGCTGAGCCACCGAGCCCGGCCTAAGAATTTTTAAGTAAGAAAAGTCAATTCAGCTTAATACTTAAGAATGAGGGTTCTTTTTTTAAATGAAAAACATATATACAATAAGTTTCAAAGTCTAATGCTGAGTTTTAAAATCTAGTTACATAATAATAAGTGGACATGTTCCTAACATGAAAAAATATATAAAATTCACACATATGCACAGAGCAAAAACTCAAAAGTCATTGTTTTGCTTAATAGTAAAATGTTAAAACATTTCCCACTAAAGTAAAGAATAAAATGGTACCAAAAATCAATGTTACTAGTATCTTTTTATTTCACAAGTAATGCATGTTATGATATATGGTTTGTTTGTTTTCTTTTGGTTTAACATTGAGATACTACCTAACCCCAGTAAGAATGGTCATCATTCATAAAACAAACAACAGATGCTGGCGAGGATGCAGAGAAAAAAGAACGCTTCTACACTGCTGGTGGGAATGCAAACCAGAGCAACCTCTTTGGAAGACACTGTGGCGATTTCTGAAAGAACTAGAAAGTGACCTTCCATATGACCCAGCAATTCCCCTATTGGGAATACA